GGAAGTAATGGACTCTTTCCCCACTTACGCAGTTTCTAATTCCTAGTGTTAACTCTTCTGATACAATGAAAAAAAAACATGTATGTGTGTGGGATGTGGAATGTGATACCTGATAAATCTCAAAAGTTCTTAATTTTCAGAGCCTTAGAAGATAAGAAATTTATGACCCTTATTTTTTGTGCTGGGATTTCTGGTTTTTAGAGGAGAAAGTAAATAGGATGATGGAATCACAGGAAGATTTGGGTTGGAAGGGACCTTAAAGGTCATATGGGGACCTTAAAGGTTGTCTAGTACAACACGACATGTCCATGGCAGGGACACCTTCCCCTGTCCCAGCTGCTCCAGCCCCAATGTCCAGCCTGGCCTTGGGCACTGCCAGGGATCCAGGGGCAGCCCCAGCTGCTCTGGGCACCTGTGCCAGGGCCTGCCCACCCTGCCAGGAACAATTCCTGCCCAAAATCCCATCCAGCCCTGCCCTCTGCCACTGGGAGCCATTCCCTGGCTCCTGTCCCTCCATCCCTTGTCCCCAGTCCCTCTCCAGCTCTCCTGGAGCCCCTTCAGGCCCTGTCTGAGCTCTCCCTGGAGCTTCTCCTCTCCAGGTGAACTCTCCCAGCCTGTCCCAGAGCAGAGGGGCTCCATCTCCCTCATCATCACCTTTGTGGCCTCCTGAGCACTTTTTCCAGCAGCTCCATGTCCATATCCTGCCCCAGAGCTGGACATGCTGCTCCAGGTGGGGTCTCTCCAAAGTGGGCCTTGCTCTGACAGCAAACCACTGACATCAGTGGTTTTTAGCATACTTTAAAACTGTGCATGAAAAAATGATCCCAAATGGCCCCTTGGTAGAATCCTCTGTCAAATCACTGAATCTGGTTTGACTTGACTTCTCTGTCTCCAAACTGAAGGCCAGGCAGCTAATTCTGAAATCTGTGAGGGGAGGGTTTTTATTTAGCTCCCTGTGGAATGTCAGGAGCCACGTTGCATACAACTAAACACAAGCCATAAGTCTCCTCATTATTATTATTTTTTTCCTTTCTATCTTACCAATTTCTACCCATTTCAGCTCTGCACAGGCCTAGGTCACCTTGGCCACAGGCAAAGCTGAGCCTGTTGCAGGGCTGGCTTTAGCAAAGTTAATACCAGCTCTGGAGGTCCTGGAAACCACTTTGCTGGGTTAAACAAACCTGCCTATTTCAGTCTGGCCCTGTCAGGATATAATTTAAAACTCTGAAACCAGAGAAGCAAAATGACCCCTTTTGGTTCTGTTTCTTGTGATGATCTCTATCCTCCCAACAGTGGATTTAGGCACTGGATACAGCTGAAAATGCAGTTCTGTTTCCAAACAGCTTGATGCTGCTGCTTTGAGTTCATTTTCACTCCTTTCCTTATCTGTAGATATTTCCCTTTATTTCTACAATGTAATTGCTAGATTTTATTTAAAGTTGTATGTGCTGATCTCATTTATGTATCTCAATCCAATAAAATCCTTTATTTTTTAGAGAGAGCTGCAAAGACAGATGAGTTAGGATTCTCCATTCCATCAGTTTCCTGGTCTTCAAATGCAATAAGAAATAACTTGGAGTCTTCTCTCTCAGTCCCAAAAGGGAAAAGCTCACAGCTCTGCAGTGAGATCACAGCCCAAAGGAAAGGGGGATGTAGCAATAATTAAGATTTTGCTCAGTGACAGCTCCTTTGCATTCAAATTTCAGAGTGGATATCCCACCAAAGGTGAACAAATCTCCAAATGTATCTTCTCCACAAGGATTTCAGGAATAAAAATGGGTTGAGGCTAGATATCATTATTATTATTATTAGACAGTATTCCCAACACCATCCCCATGTTGACAGGGATCTGTTAATCCCTAAACTATCCTTCCTTTTCTTTTTCTCAATGGGGATCAATGTGATTTAAAAATTAAAAAAAAAAATAAAAACATGTTCTACTTAAAGTAGTTTTACTGCAGGACTTTTCTGACTCAGAAATAGTTTGCTGTGCCTTCATCTTCTAGTTAATCAAGTACTGATTTATTAATTTCTTTTAATCTGCTTTATTAGTGAGAATTCTTGCTTGACCTTGACTTAATGTTTCACTAATTTCCTTCAGAATATTGAGATTTACTAACATCAATTCAAACCAAAACTCCTCAGCTCCAAGCAAGGAAGAAGCAAATTAAGGGGGAAAATTCCTTTCCTGTTTTTTTGATACATTTTGATGCAGATTTTGGATGTAAATCCTCTAAATAAGAGGGGAAAGTTATGGAGATTCCTACTTCAATCATCCTGAAGTTTGGCCTCTTAGGGTATCAGGGAAAAGCTTGTGTGCACTGATGAAATCTTCTCTTATGCCACAAAAAAAAATTACCAAAAAGGAAAACTGCAAATTGCAGTTTTAGGAGAGAAGTAGGATCTGGAGAAAAGAAAGTAGAACCATAAAAATTTCTTCATGTGGTTTAAATAATGCCACTCTCATCAGGTCCATTTTGCATCCACAGTCAATAATTTTAAAGGGATCAATGTGGGAATAAGTTTTGGTACCAGCATAGAAATTATTTTCCTGGTTCTTAAGGAAGAGTTACAGCAAGTGGCTCCTCCTCAAACGTTCTGAGCAGGAGGCTCTGTACCCCCCACAAGGTGATTTTTTTGGTTATTCTCAGTGGAAAATATAAAGTAGTGCTCTAATATCTGTCTTTATAGTCATTCCCATTTTATCCTGCGACTCAGTTGTGAAAATATTGATTGTAAAGGGAGGGTATCACCGTGTTTCATGGGATTTAAAATGAACTTCAAAGGGTTTGTGGCAGAAAAGTGCATAAACTTCAGGGAAGACTCCACAGCCACTGCAAGATAAACACAACAAAAGCCCTAACAAAAAAATCTGAATTAATTTCACAGGAATATGGATTAAGAGAAGAGGAGGAATAACCAAAACACAAACCTCAAATGCCCTTTCTGAAAGAGACTCCTTTTTCTTTACCATTAGGAATTTATAATTTCAAGTGTTTCTGTTTGTAGTCACCCTAGCACCTGTGCAGTGGGTAATTTTTGCTGTATTTGTGCTTATGAATTCCAGTCAGACTAAGAAAAAGTATAGTCTCATCTCCTCGCAGATGGAAAAGGGGGAAATGAGCCATTTGTTTGAAAGAAAAATCTGTGGTGAAGCAAGATTCTGAACCTGGGTCTTGTGCAAAGCATCCATAACTGGGGCCATTATTGTGCTCCATGAGAAGAAGTTTCAGCTTTAGGAATTCTCTGAGAGATTATTTTGTCTTGTAACAGCCTGTTCTATTCTGCAGCTGCTTTTTTAACTTTGCAACTTTACCACCATCCATTGACTGTCAAATAAGTACCACTGCGAACTCATGAATAAACATAGTTGTCATTTCCATATTAAGAGGGACTTCAGCTGAAAAGAATCCATTTGTGCCACTGCAATATCTTAATTATTTACTGTGTTATATTGTAATTAATTGTGGTTTACTCTCTCAAAACTCCGCATTCTGTAGATCTCACGGGTTTTGGAAGCAATGCACTAATATTAAAGTCATAATCAACATTGCTTCTAAATATTCATGCCAATAAATGACTCCCATGTGTTTGCTGAGTGCCAAGGATAGTCTGAAGCATTTATTTAGCATTCTAGTGGGATCTGGTTTCTGCAGAGTTCACAGAGATGCAGAATTTCAATGCTGTTGCTGGGAAAGCACGTTTGGATTCGCACGAGCAGGACACTTTGGATAAGGCAATGGTGTATCGCTCCCAGCCTGGGCTCAATAAAGCCTGAGAGCACTGGGGAGTTCTCAGCTAGTTCTCATTTGAACAATTTTGTTTAGTCTATGACAGCCTCCTAATAATTTAACTTTTTAATAAGCATTCCTAATTTTTCAAACAATTTGAAAATCACTGCATGCCAAGGGTGGGGATGCTCTGTCACAGCAATCACAAATTCAGACACATTCCTCAATAAATCAGTTAAACACTAGAACCCCAAAATTATTCTTGCTGCAATTGGCCTGACACAAATCTCCAGAAAAGCATCTTGAGTGTATGGGGGAACAGCTGATTTATGGAGCTACTGTTGGAATTTCAAACAAGGAAATGCTGTCTTGCAATCCAGTGAGTTTGTTTAATGAAATGTAAGTTAAATGTAAACAGTTTTAAAATATATGTGAGCTAAGTCTTTCAGATCAAGGGTAGCCAGCGTATTGCAAACTGTGCTTTCTCCTTGGAAGTGGTTTCCAGAGCCTGTGGAGGTGCATTGCCTCTTCCTGCAAGTTTTTAGGCCTCCACTTCTCCAGATCCTGTCTCACAGCTCACCCAAAAAATTATTTGGTTTACCTTTGGATGCTTGAGATGAAAAAGAACTTAGTTTCTATAATCAGGGGAAAGGCAGTATGAAGATTGCACACAGTCATGATGGTGCTTGAAAATGCAATCCAGATGTCCTGGTCCATGCTGGAGTGCAACTGGGATTTCTGTGGGCTCTGTTGCTGATGTCTTGTTTAGAAAGTTCTCTTAAATACTTGTATATGCATAAATACTTTGTCTATTGTTGTCACAGAGATGCTTGATAATACTGTTGACTGTATTTTTATTGATATTTCAATTTTTTTGCACTTGACAATTCTTACGTATCCCTTTCAACTCAGCTTATTCTATGATCTTAATTGCTGCAACACCACTTTAAGCTGACTATTTAACTTAATTATGCCTTAGGAAAAGCTTGAAATACATCTTGGATATTAGGAAGGAATTGTTCCCTGGCAGGGTGGGCAGGCCCTGGCACTGGATCCCTGGCAGTGTCCAAGACCAGGCTGGACATTGGGGTTTGGAGCAGCCTGGGACAGGGGAAGGTGTCCCTGCCCATGGGAACTCAATGGTTCTTAAGACCCCTCCCAAGCCAAAACGTCCTTTGATCCCATGATGTGTCCATTTCCCTGGCAGAGCTGGGTGCAGGATGATGTGCTCTGGGTTTGGACTCAGTGAAGTCTGTTCTCCTTTTTCAGAACCACCCAGCAGTGCTGCAGTTTGTAATTCAAGCTGAAAATAAACATCTGGTCATCGATCTGGAGAGGAATGAGTAAGTACCCTGCTGCATGGTCACTTTGTACTCTTGGAAGAGACTTATAATTTTAAAATTGATGGTTTAAAATTACCCTGTTTTGTTACTGGTCCCCTATAAAGAATACCCTAACAAGAGAGCTTTGTTCCTGTTTGGATTATGGGTATTTGTGCATTGCTGATAGAGAATGAATCTCCGTGGTTGTGTGCATTTATGTGGGGCTGAAAATGGACATGTTGCCTCTCAGGGTTTTCCTGTGTATTTCTTTTGGATTTGTCCTCCTTCCCTGTGGTAAGGCCTTTTATTTACAGTAATCTGGAATATCCTACAATCTCTGGAATTTTTTGGGGGAGGACTCATCCCTCCTAATGCTGCATCCATGATCTGCTCCATGCAGCGTCTATCAGGGGTGATGAGTCAAGACTTTGGGATTAACCCCTGCTGGAATGTTGACTGGAGCTCTCTGGGTTTGCTGCCAAGGGGCTGATGATGGGATTGTTGTGCTGTTCATGCAGGATCAACGCTGAGCTTGAGCCTGTGTTTGTGTGCATCTTTTCCATGTGCTCTTAGCACATCCTGCTCATGTCCATGAGATTTCAGAGAGGGATCAGGGACTGCTGTCGATGTGGTCCCGTGGGCAGAGTTGTTAAAGGGATACAAAGCCATACAGGAATGAAATCACTGCTCTGGAAATCCATGACAAATGGAAAAAGTCATCAAAGTCTTTGTCTACCCTGCAAGTGTTCAGTTCTCCTCTAAGAGAATCTCAAGGATATATGGTGGGAATACAGATAAGGACAACTGCATGCTGTTTGTCAAAGGCAAACCAAAGATCACTCTCAACCTAGGGAGAACTTTTTGTAACAGTTCCCAAGGACCTGTGAGTTCTGTAGGTTCCCCTACTGGGGAATCCAAGCCACAAAGGTATTTTTTTCAGTTTAAGAGCGAGAGTGGATGTGAGCGATGCAGTTTGATATGTTAGGAGGAAGGAATGTGCCTGCAAAATCAAATGTCCAGGGGAGGCCTGGGGACATCCTGCCTCAGGCTGGGGGTAGACAACATCAATGGAAAACCACGGGGCACCTCTTTAGTCCTCTGGAGTAAAACAACACAAAATCTTTTTAATCCCAGTCATTTGGATGAACCCTAACGTTACCCAGCTGTGATGAATTCCAGTTCACTTTATTATTCCACATCAAGCCCAAATCTTGAGCTTCCTTTAGATTATTTTTCATGCCCTTTAGCTGCTGAAAACCTGTCCTTGAATGGTGTGTAGATCCCCCATGCACAGGTTACTGTATTCCAGTAACTAGAGGAGAATTTAATTCCTTTAGTAAACAGGGATTTCGCTTTATATTCTCTTAATCTTTGTCGAAGGGTGTGCCTTCCTGCAGGAATGGGAAGTATGCAGCACTTGAGGAAACTATTTACATTCCATGTCAGCGATTAAAAGAACATAAAAACATAGAAAACCATAAAACTGCTAATACAGGCTTTGCTGAACATACCAAACTCTCTTGTACCTGTAATAAAGTCAGGTTTAGAAGGCTGTAAGATGCAATCTTAACCTCTTTTAGAAGCAGGACTGGAAAATGCAATAAATTACCTCTATAGGTGTCTGACTGCATGGATTTGGAGATACTGAGATCTGCTCCTTAAGAAATATATTTTTCAATGATTATTTTTCCTTTGGGCTAAACTGGGATTATTTTTGTAGTTTGGGGGGGTGCCCAGATGAAGATTTTCATTCTGGAAGAGCTGTGTGTGGTGCTGGCAACACAAGGTTCCTCATCCGAGCAGGAGCTTTGAGGCAGTGTTGTGGGATGGGGCAATCAGCCTTGCCTGGGTTTGGCATTTGTAGCACACAAGGCAGTTCACAGATCCCAAACCACAGGAAAAGATTGGTCATGGTCTTGAAAAATCATTTTGCCCTTTTCTTCAGAATTTCTGACTTTGATTTTCCTAAGAGATTACGCTCTGAGTGTTGCAAGTCCAAGCAGAAGTTTTCTCTGTGTGCACGTGTAGGTCAGTTTTTGTCTCTGTAAATCACACCAGGGGCTGGTCTGCAGGACTGGGCTGTGCTTTCCAGGGAAAACAATCCCAAGCTCTTTGTGCTTGCCTGTGGAAGTTGTGGTTGTGCTTCTGCCTGTAGTGCTGGTGTTGGGTTTGTCGTCACTGGCACAGGAGGTGAGGGGCATGAGCATCCTGCTGCTTCCAGGGGCTCTGCAGGGGCCTGGAGTGGGAAGTAATGCCCAGGAGAGAGATGAGAGCCTGCATTTCTGCAGAGCAAACATCTGATGGCAGCAGGCCAGGCTGGTCCTGGGGGTTCTGGACTCCAGAGGTGGGAAAAGCTCATCAAAAACCTGGGGAAGAGAGCAGGGTTCCCATCCCTCCTTCCTGGGAATCTCCAAGGATGCAGATGAGCCCCTGCTCCCTCTTCCTGATATTGGTGTTGAATTGGAAATTGGAATTTCTGAATGCTCAGAAAACATTGAGGCATTACTCACCTGCTGCAGGTAGGAGTGGAGAGAGAAACACAAACACCTTGTCTGGAGTTAAAAGTGGCAGCACAGGAAGCTCTGAGACGTGTGCTGTTATCTTGCTGTGGTTTCACATTGGAGAATGGTGGGGGTGGCGGTGCATGGGACCCCCAAATTACATAATTTCTGCATTGGGTCATGCCAAAAAAAACTTGGATGTGATTTTCCATGGTTAGGAGGAACAGCTGCTTTGAGTAGTCTTGACATTAAACTCCATTTATTGAAAACCTTTGAGATTTTCCAAACCTTGAGTTATATTTCAAAACATGATTCAGATGCATTAGGCAACCCCAAGTGGGGAGCAACGTGTGAAACCATCTGTTATCTGCGGAAATATTGAATGTCAGTTTGGTGTTTTCTGATATTTAGACTCATCAAAATGTGTTCACATGTACTGGGCAAGATGTTCTGAGTGACTTCTGCAAGAGTTACTGGTACCTGACTTCGCAGCCTAGGGCTTGAAATCTCGATGGCTTGCAGCTGTTGAGATTACTTTTGTGGATATTCATTAAATACTTTGGTGATTAATTTCCAGGCACGGCCCATTTGTAATTGCAACCCCAAAATTATTTGTGGTGGATTCAATTTGTCACAGGCAGAAAACCTGCGAGCAAGCTCACATTGCAAGTAACATTCCTTACCATGATTTAGCTGCAAAAGATGATTGCACTCTTGAGAACCTTCAGCTCTGTAGTACCTTAAATGTTTTAGAAACACTTGTCATATGGAGAGATTTCCAGAATCAGCAAAGCATCCATCAGCTGCAAAATAAACCACTTTTTGGAGCAGCTGACTGGGCTGGGGTGCATTACATCAGTAATACTGATGCTCTGCTGGTGTGCCAGCGACAGTAATGTATGCACTTAGAAATCCCTTGGAAGTTGATTGCAGCATGTGGGTCTTAGAGGGAAGCAGTTCACGGCTGTGTCAGTGAAACAGAGCCCCTGTAAGATTAAATCTGAGCTGGAGAGTGGAACAGTCTGTGGCTACTGGCTGTTTGTCTGTGCCTGGAAATGTTTTGCACTCTGTCAGGGCTGGGTCTGTACACAGCAAAGCTCTTAAGTGTTCTTTTCACTTTAAACACGTGAGAGGTCCAGGTAAAGCCGGCGGAATTACTGATTTTCAAAATTAATTTCATGCTTACATGATCTGCTGACAAAGGTCGTAATTATGAATGTCAGAGAAATGTAACACTGAGGAGATGCTGGGGGACTTTCCCAGCGCTCACTCCTGTGTGTACCTGAGGCTGGGGGTATCACAGAAGGATAAAAGTCTGAGATAAGCATATGAGGGTGAGTATGGAGGGGGATGGCTTTGCCCCTGAGGACATCAAGAACATCCCAGGTATGTCCTGGACAGTTTCCTTCTGCCAGGATTGCGTTGTCCAGCTTTGCAGAGGGAGCAGTGAGGGTGACATCAGTGTGGTTGTGGCTGGTGGGCCACTGGCAGTGTCCATTGGAACATGGAAATGGAAAGAAAAAGCTGGAATATTTTAGAGGAGCAGAGTTCACTCTTCATTTCCCCATCATTTTATGCTCCTTTTCGTCAGGTTTATAGCCCAGCCTTAACAAAGCAATATAAAAAAGGCAATATATGAGGTTACATTGCTGCCTTTTATTCCCTCTGTAAAAATTCTTCAATTTTATCAGGAGACAAAATCCACCTCAGGCCACGGTATAAGCCTCCATCTTATCCTTTAATAAGCCTCCATCAATCCCTTAGGATCCCAGAGATCTCCAGGGGTTTAGGTCATCTCTGATTGTCCCCCTTGCACATTTTCCACTTCTTCTGCAGACACAGTAGCCAGGAGGGGTTGGGACTGAGGAGGCTCCAGCAGAATTCCCTGGGCTGGAAATCAGGCAGTAGCCATCTTCATGCACAGTGCTGATGTGTCCAGTTCCAGTGAGGCTTCAAGAGTTCAGCAATATTTTGTTTTCTCTTTTGGTTAAAAGAAAAGAAGTCATTCTCTCCACTTTTCTGCCTGACCTCCCTGAATGGGAACGCTGATTGGTGTGCAAGTGGCATTGGAGCTGGATTAATTTATCAGGGAAACAACCCATTCCCAGTGCCAAAGAAAATAGCTGACAGGATTTGTTAATGAACTGACATGCTTCTATAGAATCAATGGCTTGAAATACGGAGAGAGAAACAAATCTAAACAAACAAACCCCAAACAGAGAGCTGGGACCTGTCAGAATATTCTTGCTATTATAATTCTGTGCTGTGTCTTAGCCAAAAAACTGTGACCTCAGCCTGGTTTATCTGCAAGTGCTGGAGCTGGCAGCTGTACTGCAGCATTTCAGCCTGAGCTGACAGTTGGGATTTCACTAGAATTGAAGTAAAAAGTTTCATTTTACTGGAAGGAACCGTTTTTCCCCCTTCTACAATGGCGACAGTCAGATGGTCTAAACCACACCGAAATAAGGCAATTCAGCTACCAGAGCTACAGTAAGAATGGGATCAGTCTGTGGCTCTAAG